GGCTGTGCAAAAACAGAAACAGAGCATCAGTCCAACACACTCAAGTTCAATGAGTCTTCTAAATGGCGGGATTTATTGTTGCCATGTTAATATAAACCAAAGAATGGAGATCTTGACCAGTGAAGATAAAACTGCTTCAACATTATAGTTTGTAACAAGATGCTTCTGATGGGATGGGTTCAAAGAAATCACTTTCTTTCCCTAAACAGGCATCAGAAAATCCTGGCTCATTTGCCCCTCGGTTTGAGCTCATCTCTTCTCCACGTCGACAGTATTCATACTGACACTGTGTTACATCACAGGGTAGAACTTCTACAGCCTGATAAGATACCAAGTGGCTCCCTTGAGCACAGTACTGCTCATAAATATTTGTACAGCAACTGTAATAGCAAGAAGAGCAGCAAACTTCAACTCATAGGAATTCTTACTGATAGTTGAGTTCCCAGAGTACGTTTCCCTAAATAATAACTGCATTTCCAACATTGAGTTGTCTTCCTTAAAGCCTTTGACAAGACTAGGGACAGAGAGCAAAGGACTAAATATTTGCACTGATTTTGACTAGAAGTGAATGCACTTTATGTCTAAATATAAAATTCAGGGTTTGTTTTAGCACACATTTTCTTTAGAGGAATTGTCAGATGGCCATAAATGTAATACCTGCTGGAAAATTGTCACAAAACAGTCCTACTACCACACATCTCAGCAGTACCATGAGATCTGGTTAAGTCATGCCTTACACTGAAAGCATTATGAACTTCCAGAGAAGTGCTAGAAGTGGACTTGAGCCTTTTTAGGGATCTGACTGTTTCATTTCAGAGTCAAATTACATGGCTCACAACACAAACCTGAATCAATGCTGAGACTGACCTTTATCTATTGGAAGGAATTTTACGTTCGTTTGTTGCCATTCCTGTTTGGCCAAGCCAAACATAAAGTATCTCATTTATCTCAATTACCTACTGTGGTGATCAAGAGATTGTCACACGGATGAGCCATTAGAGGATAAGGCCTATGGTCTGCAAGACAGGACTGTGCATATTGTGTGTGACAGCCACCTACAACAAACAGTATTTAAAGTACTAGTTCCTGTGCTTAGAATAGAAAATGCCAGAAATACCACATAATTTTAACTTTGACCAGCAGTGGATAACCAGCTTTCACTGGCACACCATATGCAAGCTAGGACCTCAAGGGACTATTTCTGTGACTAAATAGCTGTGGTATTAGGCTATCAGTGTATGTAGTTCATGTTCACTTCCGTACTTCCAAAGAGTGCAACCATTTTAGCTCCTTCCCTGCCTCACTTATGACTTATATGGAAATGCCTCCCTCAACATACACGTCTGTTTGCTTGACATTAATGGAAGGTGCATGACTTGATGCCCTCCCTCACCTCCCACTTTAACATCTCAGACTTGCATGTGTCTCACCACCTTTCAAGTTAGAAGGGCAGTCAGCAGGATAAATTCATCAGTACAGAGCTACCTCTGCTTTTTTGCATCTCAAGGTCAGTGCAGTCAGAGGATGAACTAGTAATTTTAGCATCATGGTGCCTTGGAGCAGAGCTGCCCCAGTGCTGGCCTGGACTGTTGGTACCAGTATGCAACCTAGACCACAGGGATTCAGGACCAGCAAGGCTGAAACTAAATGCTGTGCATTCAGGGGTTAATTTCATGGCCAAAGACAACAGGAACACAGAACAAACTTCTTCCTGGGGAGCCCAAACACGAAGTTAAAGGTGTCACTAGAAAATGAAGCACAAAGCCATTTCCTTTTACCCCAGTCTCCAGCAAGGTGTGCTAGGCTGCACTCAGGTCAGAGCTGCACCTCTAGCCTGCTTTTACTTTTGCATTTTCTGCCTGTAGCTACTTCCTAGACCATATCCCCAGCATAGGCACAGCAGTGTAGGACTGAGCAAACAATCTTCCTGGCACCCAGCAAGCTCACTGCCATGGGCAGATTCTCCTCCCAGTCCAAAGGGAGACCAGCACGCTTCAGTAGCACATGTATAAATCAAAACCCAGCCTGATGGAGAACAGTTTGTCTGAACTTCTTGGTTTTAATGGGTCTTCTGTAAGTGCTAAGTGGACCCAGCAGTTTGTGGGATATTGAATAAATTACACCAGTTACTGGTTAATGATAAGTTTACATTTATAATTCATTATAGGAGTTCCAAGTATTAATTTAATTCTGCAAGATCTCTGCAAGTAAAATTATCTCCTTTCCACAAAAGCAGTGCTGCCATCAATTCCAGGAATTCAAAAACCGTAATTCAAGCCCCAAAACACCATGATAGGCTTAAATAGGTCTTAATAAGGACAGACATGAATGAATGTCATTTTGTTCACCTTTTGCTGTGTGACTCATCATGTTTCTTTGTGGCTATGAAGATTAGACTTCTTTGAACAAAAGGCAACTTCTCACATATTCATAGCATTGTGAAAGCTGTTGAGCAGAAAATAAGATTATTTCAACTTCACAGTCAGAACTTTCTGTGTATTTTCCAAATGAATTAGTATGCTGTTTGGAACTACAGAGATATTTAGCTCCCATCTTTAACCTAAAGTGTAAAGAGGTTGTTACCAGTCTAAGGATTTTGAATTATGTTCCTGAAAGAGTAGTGCTGGTTGTAAACTATTTTTATTAGTTACTCTTGCTGGAAAATTAAACAGCACAATGAGCAGATAATGCAGAAAGAGAAGCAATACATGTCAAATGCCTCTGATGTTCATTCAACCTACTGTGACGAGATCAGAGAGGAGAGATGGACTGCAGATGGGGTATCACACTTTGTGGTAGTTGGTTGGGATTTTTTAATAAAACTGGAGGGGAGTTTTTTGTCCTTTGTTGCCCAAAACATATTTAGCTACATTTCTATTTACTTCAAAACCAGTTTAATTTTTAGTTTAGCCTTCAGATTCCTGTGTTTAATAGGTTTTTGCTGAATTTCTTTTAGCCTTAATTTATTTACATCTTTTGTTTATGGTGATGCCTTGCTTGTGGAAAACTGTCTAATATTTCTCTTAAATGTATTTCTCATATTTAGAACCTAGGAAAAGCTGGTCAGGAGATGTGTCCATCACTTCTGCTCTTCTCGCAGTGACTGAAGGGGGTAACCAGCTGCGCTGGAGGGAGAGTGTTCCTGTAAAGCTCCTTAAAGTGTAAAATCTAATGTCCAAGTCAACTTCCTGTATAGCACCTCACAATGCTTTGCACCACACTGACTGAGACATTTGTAGGTGTACCCTCTGGTCTGATGCAAAGTCAGCAATTTCCAGTGCAGCAGTCAGCAAAGGAGGAATTATTTTTGAAACCGCAACAGTATCGACCAACTACAAGATCATCTTCGTCAGACATTGACACTTCTATTAATTCTTTCTTAAATTCTATCTTTAATTTTAGAAGTCTTTTAAGTAAATTCAAAGAATTGAGTTTACTTTAAAAATGTAAATCAAGTTATTTTATTAATCTCCATTAAGAGCCCTTTTGCTTCCAGTAACACTTTAAAAGAAAGAAGGAAACACAAGAAACACAAGCGTATTTGATATTCTGCTTATTTTCAAAAGCAGGCTTGAGAGAAGTAGCAGGTTTTAACAATGGTAGAGTATTATAAGTATAAATAAAAGATGGACTTGTATGTGTATAGTTTGACTACAACAGAATTCTTACAGTTAATTCCTACAAAGTACTAATTACTCTTAGAATTGGTAACTTCATGTCACTGCAAGTTTTTACTAAATTAAGCTTGATGAGCACAACAGAAGCAGATTTATTTTCCTTTAATTTGTTTTGGGTTTTTTTTTCCCTTTATTTTTGTCTGCTTCTGGAATCCAGTTTTAAACACGCCGTATTTGCAGACTTTGCTACACTTTAAGAATGAATGTCAGCTTTTATGGTTTCGGGTTTGTTTTCCTTTGCTTTTAATATCTAGCTACTATGGAAGTTATGCATGTATGTTTATGTAGATATTTTATAGGTTATTTACAGAAAGGAAAGTAGTTTGTTGAGTAAGCACAAGTGTTTGACACAGTGGAAATGCTGCAAAGAACACATGGAAGGGAATGTTACATAAATGTTGAATAATTTCCATTTAAATAGCATACCATTATTGCCTATATATTGCCTATAATATAAATAATAAATATTTTATTCATATAACATATAAATGCATGTGTTCTTAATTTGTAAGCATTAGTTCTTTACCTATTGTGCGCTTACACTTTACTTTCTATCTTTAACACGATCCCATGTATCTGTAGTACTGATCTAAATTTTTGTTATTAATTTCTGCTCAAGTGGGCAACTGGCACAGAGCAAGCCTGCTCTCTCCTCCATTGGCTGCTGCTGTCTCACCAGTTCTAAATGGGATGCTGGCCCTGTGTGTTACTACCAATTCGAACAATAATTTATCTCACTCTTGCTATTGCCTTACTATCCTTATGGGCAGAACGAAAACTTTCTGGCTGGCTGTGCTACAGTTCCAGGCCACATCCAACTCTCATTTACATGCACTTTGAAAGGGAAGAGTTACAAGAGGAAGGGAAAAAAGACAAAAATGAAAATAAAGAGAACATAACATTCTTAAGGGCCTTACTTATGTCTGCTTGAGAGAATTCAAAACCAAAAGGTCACTAGCTCACTCCTTCATTTTCATTTCCAAACAGAAACTCGTACTTCTTTTATGCCCATCAAGGGCCTGGCTTGCTTTCCAGTTTGACAAAGAGCCTGTAGTCATTTGTCTATGCCATGCTTGCTGAGGGAGTATGGACCGGTAAGTATAAGCCATGGACTGGCAGAGGTCAGCCATGCTGAAGGGGTCAGCTTCCAGCTGAGCTATTGATGCCAAGCGGCCATGGACAGGCAAGCTAGATGGCAGCCAGGCAGCACATCTGGCTTCATTATTTTTGCTAATGGCTTTTAATGCAAAGTCCTCTGCAAAATAGCAAAGATCACAACCAAGAGAGAAGCCCTGTGAAGTGAGCAGCATTAGTGCTACTTACATAGGCCAGGATGGCAGGACTGCAAGCGGGCAGGGCAGGGGCTCAGTGGTGCATGGTCTTCCTGGGGATTTTTGGAGGTGCTGTGCAGGGAGCCTTCTGCTTTGCTAAAATCTTGCAGATCAGTGGAGAGTCACTTCAGGAACTGTAGTTTTTTTCTTATTTAGATTTCAAGTAGTTTCATTTTCTTTAGCCAGACTTATGTGTCAACAGCTGAATATGGTCTTCTATTTCTGCAAATGTGGTTAGTATTTCTGTAACTGCTTTAAATACATACTGCATCCAGGCAATAATGTGGCTTCTGAAGACACATGCAATTTTTAATAGCCTGGTTCAAGGTCAGAATCTCAACACTATATAACTATGTATGTTACATACACTTTCCTGCCATCCGGCTAAACTCCTTTTTTATTTAGAGAGGGAAAAGTTTGTTAGTTTATTTGTATTGCAGTAAACTTTAGCAAAGACTTTGACAAGGATAGCCAGAATCACTGCAGTAAATGCACAGTGACAGAGCCGGCACCATGCCTGAGGTTCTGCAGAAGGGTTTCCTCTACTGTACAGTATGCAGCAGTCTAAACTGTTGTAACCAAGGTCTTCTGACTCCCACAGCAGGACTAGGAAGCAGCATTTTTCCCCTCTAGGTTACCACTCTGGCAACCAGAACTGTCACTGGTGTCTTGTACTTCAGCAGCCTTGTAGCCCATACCGTCCACCAGGGATGCAAATGTTCTACAAAGTCACTGTGGTACTCGTAGCAAACCCTGCCTTCCAGAGCTAAGCCCTTAAATCCTCCTGTGAATCTGAAGCACTCTGGTCATTTCTTTCTTCTATTTAAATGGGAGTGCTTAATCACCACATTGATGAAATACTGCAGGTAGGAGCTATTAAAGTAGTGGCCCTCAGGTGTGGAGCTGGACTGTGGGCAAGGTTTGCCTGGACCTCTCCCAGCTGGCAGTCCTCAGCCTCCACACGGCAGAGCCCATGTCTTATCATACTGAGGTCAGGATTATACACAGGAAACACTGTGCTGCACATGGGAGCTGGTGGGGCTGGATGTCATCTACCGCATCCTGAGGAATGCACCTCCCAAAATGTACCAGCCATCCTTGAGCCTTGCATGGCATTTAAAATGACATCTTTCAACCACATATGGTAGAAAAGGAGGCAGCGCTGCTCCCAGCATGCAGGGGGAAAACAGGCTACTTTGTTAAGTAGCCTGGCTGTAATTGGATCCAGAGTCAAGGAAGGGATCAGGAATAAAATTAAGATGCCATCCTTAACCATGAGGTTGCTGTAAGCTCAGAGAGACCTATTTTCAACCAAATTCTACACATGAAATTACTTTTTTCAGAGCAAATGTGAATCAGCTAGTGGATCTATGTGCTATCTTATGGATTGTACCCATTTTTAACAGCTTTTGGTGATCTGGACAGCAAGTTATTGAAGAGGTTGAGTGCACAGCCTAAATGGAAAATTATACTTGCACAGAAATGTTGTCTCCATGCAGCATGCCTCCAGCTCTGAGCAGTTCAGAGAAGTTTGTACTCAGTCTCAAGACAATATCTTGTTTCGGTGTATGCCAAAGTGCAGAGCACTTCCAGGCCCCACCCATCGGAGATAAGAGCACACCTTAAAAGAAGTATCAGACAGACCAGATGAAACCAGGATGTGTTTCCTTTTTGTGTGGAAGGATGACATAACTTCTTATTCACAAACATACAACAGATCTTTTTTGGCACTTAGTCCTTCTTTGATTCAGTAAAAAGGACATCATCTAGTCCTCAAAATGCCACTGCTGTGAGTAACATGGAGTGGACCACTTGCTTAAGCAAACATCTGCAAGGACTAGATGCAGGCATCCCTCCTCCCGCTCATTGTAGGGTGTAATCCCACTGTCAGGAGTGACAGAGCTGCCCTTCACCAACCTGTCACCTCTTCAGGTGTCCATACAAGATTTTTATCTGTGGGAACGACTTGGTCCAATAATCCTTATGAAGACAAGTTTTGTGGCACCTAGACTATAGGAATTGTGTCCTGTGGCTAAACATACATATTTAAATCCCTAATTAGGAAAAGTTTGCATTACAAATTGTATTACAAATTAGTAATTTTCAAACTAATGCATGAAAGAAATGTTTAATGCATTTAAATGGAGCATAATTTACATAAAAATTATTCTTGGTGATGAAGTACCTTAGAAAATTGAGTGAGTGGGTAAAAAGATGGCAGGTGACCAGTTACCATTGACTGGTCTGAAAGCAGTGTGTAATGTCAGTCAAATATGCCAACAAATGCGAAACATAATCAAGAAGGGTACTGAAAGCAGGCTAGAAAGTGATGTTATATTGCTCTCTGAAATGTAGCATCCTGAGTAGTGTGTGCTGCATCCTCTGCCTCTCAGGCAGGAGACCATTATAGAATGAACGGAGAAGGGCAATGAACACAATTAAGGGATTTGAGCAATTGCCTTAGGGGAAACACTGAAAGGTTTGGGACTTCTTGACATGGAGAGAAGGTGGCTGAAGGGGAAGTGACTGATAATTTCAGTTTCACAAAGCTAGTGGAGAAAGTGAGTGAAAAACTGCTGTTCATAAGGTCACATAGGTGATATCCCTGAACAGCATGTCCTATTACTGCTTTGCTTCCTCTTCTTAAAGACAGCACAGGGATGGAAACACCACTGGTCCAAAGCAGTAGGGTATTTCTTCTCAAGGGTCCTTAGATTCCTTTTCAATAGTTCTCCAAGGCAAGTCTGAAGTCCTTAAACCAAACAATATCAATTTGCTTTGCCACAAATATCAGAGGATGAATTTCTGTATGGGTAAAAATCCTGCCATGGGATTGCTCCCTGCCAAGGGAGCATCCTTAAGGGAGCATCCCTACTTCTGAATAAGGAGGAACAAATGCAGCCATTCATGTCACAAGATTGTACCAAGGGGAAGAGGAAAATCTTGAAGCACAGAAGACTGAAAATATAGCTAAAAAGCATATAAAATGATACTACAGTGACAAAGCTTGAAAACACCCTATTGGCAGTGATTCAACAGTATTTAGAGAGGAAGTACACCCTGAGCAACTTCTGAGCAAAGCTGTGAATTGGAGAAATGCAAACACATTGCTGAAAGCCACAAGTAGTCACAGAAACAGCTTCCTGGCTGTGTAAAAGTTACCAAGGTCCATTCCGAGGTCCATGGACGTTAAACCATTTAGCAATTCAGTGAAACCCACACAGAGTCAGAGAATGGGTGCAAAGCCCAGCAGTGCTGGAGGTCTTTCCTCCGGAGGGGTGGGCACTGGGCTGCCCATCATCCCTGCATTCAGTGCTGCCTGCCCAGTGCCTGTCAGTGCTTCTCTCAGCTCCCCTGCTGCTCTCCTTGCCTCAGGTGGGCAGTGTCACGTCCAGCGGGGGTGTGGTATCCCAGGGTTTGCCATACGCACCAACAGTGCAAGAAGGGAAGAAACACTAGTCCCCGTGTGCAGTATGTATAGATGCAGGCGTTGGAAGTCAGACATCATTCAGTCTATCCATGTGATACTCTTGAGTTTTCCCATTGAAAATTCCCACTTCCCTTTCTCCTGTTGACCCAAAGAGCAGTCAGAGTTCAGCTCTGGGCAACCCATGTCTAACTGGAGTCTTTTGAGTATATACACTTGGAGTATGTGCTTAGGAACCACTGCCACTTATAAAATGATTGAATTTTATACTTACTCAGGCATACAAATCAGAACTGGGAGGAAGTGTGTTACACTCATCATATTCTTAGCAAATCATTAGCCAGGTGGTGAGACAGTGCTGGTGCTGTAAAGCAAGCCACACAGGACTGGTGTGCTCTCACATGGTGCCTGGTCCTTGCTGTCTGACAGCAGGGAACCCACTGCAGCAAAATCGCTAAAATCACAAGTATTCAGTACACTGAATTTCAGTGTCTTCGGGCAAAAAGCCACTACTTTGATGCTCTTTCCTGATGATCACAGAGGATAAATGCAGTAATATTGCAGGTGCCTGTGTGAGGGGGTCACTGAGAGAGGTGGTAGGGCTCTCTGAAATGTAGGAGATTTCTGGGGTGAGAGCACCATGGGGAGGGTGGAGGCAGGGAAGCTGTCGGGCTGCTCACTAGCATCATACATTCCCTGGTCATGTTGGGATTCACCCTGTTTCCTGCAGCTGTCCCTACCCAGTGCTGTGTCCCTAGCCCAGCAGGTCACTGGCCTGTGTTCCCTTCTAGAAACAACGGCAGGAACAAGGTTTCTCTGAAGCCTTTCTGGAGCATGGCAAAGAGCATAACATGGTGTTCCCTTTTTTAACTGGAGAGGGCTACATTTACAGACCTAGAGGTCACTGTATAAGTCTCCCACCATTTGCCACGTTTAAAAGTGCTGGTGGAGCACCAGCAATGTGCTGTTTAGCATAAATTTAACACAGGATGCCACATGTGCCTTGGGTGCTACCACACACTTAGTATTATATGGGTCCTACAAGTGGATAAGCACCAAAGAAACCATGATCTGTCCTTCCTGTGCTTGTGAGTCAGACACAGGAAAGCTTTATGCAACATGTTCAGCTCCACAGTCTTGAGAGGCATTGCAAGGAATGAGTTGTAGGGTTCAGTTCTGGAGATGCAAGAATTTATTAGTCCAGAGATCTTACCAGTAGAACACCATTAGTACGCCTTAGCACCTTGTATCTTCTCACACGGAAAAAGGTGAAAGGTAATGGGTATAAATTACTCCTGGGGAGATTCCGATTGGACACAAGAGGACAATTTTTCACAATAAGAACAATCAGCCATTGGAATATTCTTCTTAGAGAAGCGGTGGATTCCCCACCCCTGGACAGTTTTAATATTCAGCTAACAAGGGGTGACACACCTCATCTAGGTCATGCTTTGCCAAGAAAGGTTGGATCCTTGAGGTCCCTTCCAGTCTGGTGTTCCATGATTCCATGACTGTCTGGGTGCCACAGCATTCTCTAAAAAGCCCTCCCAGAGATAAAGCTGATTGTAGGGGCAATACGTAGGGGCAGTACTGCAGATGCACGTAGTGCCATAATAACTAATAATTCCTGACCGTAGTATTGTTCCGAAGTGCAACTAAACCTTTCTTCTTGCAGTTAATGTGTCATGATTAAATTAATTAAAGGTAGACATAACCCCTA